GGAACTTGGATTTTATCTAAAAGGCAGAGAGAAACTACAGGATTTAATTAGAGAATGGTACTATGTGTTTATGTTTTTTAAAAAGGTTGTGCTGGCTGCTGGGTGGACACTGGTTTGTAGGAAGATAGTACTGGAAGAGAAGCCAGCAAGGGAGCTGTACCCTCCTGCATGAGACATAGCTGGTGCTAACAGACACAACCAAGCACTTCCTTTGGTGGAAACAATCCATGCCAAGCAGACACAATCCTCCACCTGCCTCACCCTACCTCAAAGGACAAAACAGGAAAATTCAAGCTCAGTAGCAACCCACAACTAAAGAGACCTGGGGAGCCACGTTAGTAGGCTGAGGTCCTTATGTCTTTCGGTCTGCTTCCCCCATCCTTGTCTAATTTTTAGTGTTTAAATGAGCCACAAGAACAGAATGATCTGGAACTTTTTCTTCTTGTACTGGCTAAAACTCAGTTCAGAAAGCAATTAATGGCCTTTATTAAAATACCACTTACTAAAGCAACTAGTGTGGTATTTGGAAGCTATGAATATCCCGGGGTTAGAATGTACTCATCATAGAAGTGGAAGTATGGAAGTGGCTGACCTGGCATTCTTGTTTCTGAATTACCTGAAAGAAAGGTGACCCAGCAGGTCATTGTGGTTGTGGATCACAGTAGTTTTTTTTTTTTTTTTTTTTTTTTTTTTAGCTCTGCTAAAGCTTTCTCAGGTCAGCTTAGATTCCAGTTCATGTTGTAGTTGTGATACTGTGATATTGAGACGAGAATAGCAAACAACAGCAACATCCAGCAGCCTGAATATCTCAGTAGTTTTGCCAGTAAGTTAACTAATGAGTTAACTAGAGATTTGAGGAAAGAAAGGTACAGATCTGTTGAGCATTAACAGTACTTCATCATTCGGATACTGCACAACTGTCCGTGCTGGACTCCTGCTGATCTTTGCCGAACAGTGAAGAGAGAACAGCAAAGAGGCAGTGAGAAGAATGTGAACTGAGGGCTCTGACAGGTGCCTGCATAGTAGTGTGCTGCTCTGTGCACCTTGAGGCCTGACTCCCTTGCTCCGCCCCCAAGTGCACATGGAAGGCGAGCCTGAGGAAATGATGTCCAGGCTGGAACCTGAAGGGTGAGTTCATAGGCCAGGGAGGAGGACATTTCAGGGACCTGGAGGTAGTGGGGCTGGCAAGCCCTGTGCTTCATTCCGCCACTTTTTATTTCCTTGATTCCAGGGCTTCTAGAGGGTAGCTTTGAATATCTTTGAGGTGAAAAAAAAAAGCTCATTTGGTAATATGTTTAAATGACGGCCCCATTGTCACAATTCTGTGCCAAATCTGGGTTGGTAATCTAAGGCCTACAACGTTTGTGCCATATACACTGAAAATTTTCAGAACTACTAAGCTGAAAGGAAGAAGTGTGAGTGGTCGTCGGTGGTTTTAGTCCCAAGCAAGTATGATTCCATGTGTGGCTTGAGCCAAGATACAGAATCTCTGTCTCAGTTTGTCCATTTAGAAAATGGGTCTTTAAAAAAAACCTCATTTGTTTTCATCTTTATAAAGAAGTTTTGGGAGTAACTCCTGACCTATGGGAAAGCACATGTATCCTGTTGTAATAAAGACTTGGAAGGATCTGCCAGAGGCATGTGGTATGGTCAGGGCATTCCCTGGTGAGAATTCGTGCTTCCTGTGAGGCCCTTACCAAAGGACCCTGTGGACCAGGGGGAAGTGTGCATTCTGAAGACAGGGTGAGTGTGAGGTGCTGATGAGTACTGTGTACAGATTCGCAGGGGAGAGAGGGCAGGACAATGATCCCAGAGCTCTAAGTTGTTGGCCCTGCTTGTGCTCATTCCAGGGTAATCTTGTGTCTAGGTTCCCCAGAGGTTTTTCACTCAAAAGTATACTTTTATTTTTTTTTTAAAGTATATCTTTAAAAAATGTTTGTTTTGGGCCAGGGATTTAGCTCAGTGGTTCTGCCACCTGCCTTGAAAGCGCAAGGTCCTGAATTTGATCTCTGGTACAAAAAAAAAAAAAAAAGTTTTGTTTATTGTACAGATTATTCCAGAAGAGTTTAAGGCAGAACAGACATGATCTGGGTGCTGGGGATTCTCTCACACCCTTTCCAACTCTATTCCTGGGTCACGAAGTGCATCTCCTGGAGGCCCACCCGGCTTCTGGTTCTGACTGGCCTCTGAACCAGATGTACGGATTGGCAGGGAGCCTACTGTGACCTTGCCTGGGGATTGTGGTCAAACAGTCACACACAGCTGTCTTCTGAACTGGCAGGACAAGGTGACTTCGGAGGGCAGTGCTGGGGTGCTAGGTCTGCTCTCCCAACAGTGGAGAGGAATAATGCCTGGGAAAATCCTTAAAAAGACAGGATGATCTCATGTTCCTTGGGCTTCCATCTCCTTCCCATTTGTTTGCCCTTGCTGCCAGCCCTTCACTGTGATGGCCAGAACCCCTGGACCTGTGTCTTAGAGTGTCTCCTGGGAAAGAAGAGTGGGAAAGAAAAGAGAAAGGAACTCAGCTTCTGCCCAAGCCACTGCAGAAAGGACAGAGCCAATAACTGTGGTTTAGGCAAAACATGAGGAAGTGATTAAAAGCGATGGCATCTGTATGAAAGCTCTGGCCTGACCCTGAGTGCTTTCTTACAGTAGTGGGGTCTAGAGGAGACCGGAAGGAGAAGGTCCTCCCCTGCTGTCCAATGGCTGGCAGGGAGAGGAGTGTCAGATGTGTATTTTCCATTTCTATAATCTTTATATTCAGGTATTAGGTGGCAAGATAACTTTGAATCTTATGTAACTTTTCCCCTCAGTTTAAGCCAAATGGCCATTGGGTTGGTGCCTTAGAGGATTCAATGAGAATTCCTAGCTGAGGATTACTCAGTGAATTCTGTAAAAGGTTTTGACATGTTAACTCTCCCTGACTAAGCCTCTTCTATTCTTCGCAGAAAAAAGTAGTGTTTTTATTTGCAACTATTTTACCTCACGTTTTAGCTGAAAGGAGCTCTAAAATGCAGATAGTAGAGTAAATCAGTAATGAAAAAATTAGTCATTAAGCATATGCCATACATAAACAGTAGGTTAGATAAGTATACACATTATCAAGAAATTCTACAGCAATTCTGCAAAATAGGTACAGTAATAATGTCTACTGTACTGAGAGCTTATATGTGTCAGGCTCCGTTCTAAATATTTTACCTGAAGTATTTGTTTTTCAACAACTCAGTGAAAGAAGTTGTTCCTTCACTCCATTTTATAGATGAGAGAACATCAGAGAGCTAGTCAGTGAGCAGACCCGGAACCAGTTCCAGAGCCCTGCTCCTAACTAGCATACACTCAGTCTCTTTTTTTTGCTTTACTACCAACAGATAGTCTGAGGCTCAGAATTTTCTTGCCCAGTACCATTAAGGACATAGTGACACAACCTTAACCAGACTTCGAGTCTAGAATTATATTTAATTGTGAAAAGCCAAGGATTCAAAATCTGATGAGAAAAGTGATATACACAGGGAGGTGGTCATGCATAGATACCACATAACTAAGTGTGTAAGTTAGTTTTGCACTACTGTAATGAAATATCCCAGGTGGACTAACTTTATAAAGAAAAGAGTTTGATTTAGCACACAGATCTGGAGACCAGAAGTCCAAGATCAGGTAGGTCTGCGGAGGGGCCTCTGGTGAGGACCCTCTAAGGCATATGATTGCCTGGAGGATTGTACCACGGCAGGAGTACGTATGAGAGCAAGAGATAACAGCTCTAAACAGGCGGCCAGAGTGGGACTCGGGGTCAGACTTGCTGTCCTATCATCTCGCTTCCTGGAGGACTGCTTTAATCACTTCCAAGGGCAGAGCTCTCACTGGCCTCGGCTTACACAAGGCCTTTCCTGTCAAAGGTCCTAGCATCATGCCAAAGGCTACACCCCAACACTCGAATCTTTGGGGGACACACTCAAACTATGCCCCAACCATAGGGCTAAAATAAACAGGAAAATGTAGCTTAGAAATAGAAGCTCCCTGTTGACCTCTTGGTCATCTCTCCCACTCCCTAACATAAAAAGAGATCCTTTTCTTTGACTTAGGGTTTAAAAAAGAGAACTCTTTGACTTCCATTCTGGGTTTCAGAAATAAGAAGCCAGATGGACGGGGTTTATTCCTAACAGCTGCTCAGTAATCCGTTCCCCCCCTAGGCAAGGCATATGCAGAGGGGCGGCTTCAGCAATTGGATCTCAGAGGCTTAGAAAAATCCTTGAAGACAGAAATTGAAAACACACACTGTACTCGACAAACTGAGAAAACCCACTTCAAAGCCTGAGGCAGGGGACAGTCTAATAACAAGACACGAAGACTGTTTGGAAATTTGGTTCCTAGGCCTCTCCTGAGGAGAAGTATGCCTGTTCACATGGCAAAATGCCCTGGGGATGTGGGGCTTAAAATTTTTCTCTGGCTTCCTGGGAGTATGGAGGAAAGAGTTATGGGAATGGCTTTAGGGACCAGGGGTGGGAGGTGGATTGAAATGGACACACGAAAGGCTTGCTTCCCAGCTCAGTGGAATCTAAACAATCTGAAATAGCTCAAACTCAAGAGTTGGCCTGAATTTCTGAGCTGCTACCCACGGACCAGAGTGGGGTCTATGGCACTGGGAACTGCTCCCCTCAAGGGGAGGTTGAGAAACAACACAGCATGACTGGGTTTCAGGGAGCCCAATTTTTCACTTAATTTCAACACTGAATTAGAGGAGAGTTTACCTTCATACTAGTTCATGTATCTTTCTTCCTCCTAGCTTAGAAAATCGATTTCTCTGGGGAATAGACTTTATTGCTTCACACAGTAACATAGGCAGGAAAGGCAGAAGACCCTCATTTGTGGGCTTTCCTTATGTGACCCTGAACTTAGCTGTGCTTTCTTGTGTCCATTTTCACGTGTTTTTCATGTTAAATTGAGTTGTGCTCTTGCCCAGGAACAGGACTGTCGTGCTCAGCTTCTTGTCCTACTTTTGACAGAAACGTGTGTGCGAACCCGGGCCATGCGGGTCCTGGTGACTCCAGCCCAGAGCGCCTCACCGGGGGCCCTCAGCACAGGAAAGCATCGTGGTCAGGAGGGGTGAAACTTCGACTGAAGCACAGGTAAGAGGCGCAGAGGGCCACCTGACCTGTCTGGGAAGAGTTGAGTGCTTCGAGAGAGAACCAGAGGCACAGCATAGGCTGGCAGAAGGAGGAGGTCAGACTTAGATTTGAAAAGGGAGATGATCTTAACAGCGGATTCCGTTTTACATTCTGAAGAACTCTAAAGTTCCTGGGAGGTGACCTGAGAGTCCCTCAAATCATTTGATTCAAACATTGTTTGAAAAATACATTCATAATTATTTTTAAATCTATAACACATTTGAAGCAGTATTCCAAAGTTTTATTTTTATTTTTTTGGTTTTTGAGTGAGGGTCTCATTATGTAGTCCAGGCTGGCCTGTTGAACTTGTGGTGATCCTCCTGCCTCAGCCTCCCGAGTGCTGGGGTTACAGGTGTGTACCACCATGCTTGGGCAAGGTTTTATACTTTGGATATGGAATGGTCAGGGAAATTGTACAGCAAGATTAATTTATTACCTTTCAACTAATCTTCATCCAAAACTTCTTTCATTGTCTCTGAGGAACCTCCTGAGGTGACAGTGTTGGCCCAGCTGATTTGTGGTGACTCCCCTGTGCACCAGGTTGCGAGACCGGGGGAAGCTGAGTGCCTCTATGTTTGAGGTGCTGGGCCCTCACATGGGCTGTTTCATTACCCTGGTGCCATAAGGCACACTCAGAACGTTCAGCCAGAAAGTGGTGGGTTCAGATTCTGGGAGTCTGACCAGGCTCACAGCCCCCTCACTTTATGGCTTTGGTGTCCACCCCAAACCTACTTCCTAGGACAGCTGTGGGACTTCAGTGAGATAAGCTGTTCAGAGGCTTAGCACAGAGCCTACTCATGGGGATGAGAAAGAAATGTCAGGTGGTGGTTTCATGCTGCTCTGGTGTGCTAGCTTTTCATCACTCATAAAATATTTGAGATAATTAATTTACACTTTAAAAAAAAGCTTCCCTTGGCTCATGGGTTTGGAGGTTCCACTCCAAGATCAAGCGGATCTGTCCTTGTTAGGCCTCTGGGAGGTTGCTGGATGGCAATAGTGGGGAGCATTTGGTGTGGAGCCAAGTCCTCACCTCATGGCCAGGAAACAGACGAGGAGGAGGAAGACGCCAGGGCCCCACATTCTCTTCCCCACTGGCACAGCCAGCTGACAAAAGGAAACTCTGCTCAGCCCCTCCCAACAGCGGCATCCGGGCACCAAGCTTTCTACTTGTGGGCCTTGGAGAGACACTCGACACCCACACTGTAGCATGTGGTGGCCATTATTGACATCTTTTACATCACTGTCACAGAGGTCGGCATGCCAGCATGGAAAGAATACAGGGAGGGAGGCACTGTGCAGTCAGACTGCCTAGAACCCAACCCTGAGGTCTGCTGCTCATCCATAACTGCATGTACACCACGGATGCGCTTTGACCCACCTCTCCGGGTGGCTGAAAGGATTAAAAAAGTGAATATAGGAAAGTGTTTAGGGAGGTGCCTGGCATGTCTCGAGTATTCCACAAATGTTGGTTATCGTTGTTAGCAATTTTTCTGATTTCAGTTTGGGGAATTCTTTCAAATAGACATGTTGCCTTATATTATCAACAAGTAAACATAAATTTGGATTTATGTCAATCCAAATTTGCATTTTTGGATTATCGGTATTTAAAATATGCAAATATACATTTAAATATTTGTTCTATTTTATATACTAAAATAGCAGTAATAAAATTTACATTTTAATAAGAAAATATTTTAATAACAATAAATATTATATAAAACAAAACCTGGCATTTATGTTAAGATGCTTTATTATAATAAAATAATAATACTGTATAATCTGTTTTCATTTGAAGAAAAAGCTCCAAGAGCAGTTTGAACATGTCGCAGGTCTGGAGAAGCCAGCTGCCTGGTGCCTCAGGGTCAGGCCAGGAAGAGGGTAACGTGAGAGCTGGCTCGCTGGCTGCTCCGAGGGACAGCCTGAAGAAGCAGAAACTCTGAAGTTGTCACGATTCCCTGTGGCTTTTTTTTTTTGGTACTAGTGATCGAACTCTGGACCTTGCGCTTGGGAGGCTCATGGTGGAACCACTGAACTAAATCCCCAGCCCTCCCTATGGCTATTTTAGTCACTTTCCTCATGGCTGGGACAAATTGCCTAATACCTAGAAGTTAAAGAAGGAGAAGTTTATTTTGGCTCACAGTTTGTATAGGTTTTAGTCCATAGTCAGGTGGCTGCAAGGCAGGGTGACCAGGAAGCAGAGAGACAGTGAAAGGAGGAGCAGGAAGAGATAAACCCTTCCAGGCCAAGGCCCTGTGATCCTCCTCTTCCAACCCAACCCCACCTGAAGGAAGTCAGCTATAAACTCATCAGGTGGGTGAATCCACTGATGATGCCACAATCCAGTCCCTTCCCCAAAGCCCCACCTATGGGCCCATGAGGCTTTGGGGAGACATAAAGATGAGCCAGAACAATGGCTTCCTAGGGTCTTCAACTTTCAGAGAATCTGAGCCTTCTCCTCAAAAGGAGTCCACTGGCCTTGTAGGTTAATCTAGCATCAGTGCCAGAGTGCTTGTTCAGAAAGTTGTAGGTGGGAAGTCATTTCTCTTACCTGAGAGGAAAATGATCAAGAATGAGCTAAGCCAGTGGTGATGGGACCAGAGATGACTCGGATTTGAGATGGATTTAGAAGGCAGCATCAATAGGTGAGAAGGAGGAGGGGAAAATGAGAGGAGAGCCAAGTTTCTACTGTAGGGGGCTTGTGATATGTGTTTTTACAGCCATTACTGGGACTAGGAAGGCAGGAAGAATAATAATTGCCTGCAGGTGAAAAGCATGAATACCACAGATATGAGTTTGAGCCTGAAACAATTCAAATAGTTGTGGGGTTTTTTTTGTATTAAATTCTTTTATTGGTACATTGTAGGTACACAACACAATTACATTTCTCATTGGGAATTGTACCTTTACATAATGCATCTT